AATACTTATCCACTTTAGAACAAAGCTTACTTCTTTTTTCAAGTTAGTGAACAAGAGTTGAAAATTAATATTTATGCCTAACCTGTATTTATGGTTTCCAGAGAAACCTTTCAATCACCTTCCAGCATAAAGAAAGCACACTAAAATTATTGTTTCACATTTATAAGCACCATTGACAAGGATAATTTGCAAATTGTCGAGTAATTACCACAAAATGAATAATTGCACAAACGAATTACTAGAAAAGAAAATATATAAATTTGAAGTTTTCCCTTATTAAAGTGCAAAACGTCCTTTTACTTGATGGTTACTTGAACAGTATGGTCCCAGCATCAGTACATAGACAACATGAACATGTCAAAACAAGTAGTAATAGCAATAACAACAATTACGAGGCATAAAAATTTGAAAAGTTCGCTGGCTTTCCTTCTCATGCTATACTGTCTAGTGCTGGTGGCAACTGGCCTAAAAATGCATTAAATTTTAGTGTGCAAGTAAAATATAAACGTACTCGTATGTTTGTTTATGTATCTACGTGCTGTGTATCATGAGCGAGTGTATAGCTCCAATATATCATAGTTCTTCATTTCCAAACTTTTAACTAACCACCTTAGTACAATATATTTGTGATGATGTTCATATCCCAAAAGCTGCCCACTTACCGTTCTAAATATCATATCAAACATTCTAAGAGAAAGGTTCATTCACACAAATTACGAATACGACTTTAGATTGTGGGAAAAATGGGTGATTTGTTTGTAAATTGATTATCAATTAACATAATAAAATAACGAATACTATTCAACAATAATATACAATAAAGTTGAGAAGAGATTTAGAAAGCAAGCATTTGAGAGTGATCACATCGAAAACATTGTTTTAAAGTTGTGTTGCCTTCCCTTTGTGCGAGTACTTCCAACACTATACAAATCCAACATAAAACTTATATAACTCACAGCCAGTTCTCCTTCTATGAGCACGTCCACAAGGAGATAAAAAACAAGTCTTTATCAAGTTGCCAAAAACTATAAAAATATTGTATGAAATATTGAGGGAGTATTTTAGTTATATCTTAAGTTGTGTTTTCCATATTGTATCAAACAATGAAATTCCACCTCCCTTTTCTAGTGTAAGAAGTTTAACACGACAATTAATCCATTCAAAGATAAGTTACATTATAACATTAAGAGTTTTAATTTTGTATTAAATCTTGAAAATCAAAAACTAAAACTGAAAATAAAAAGTTTTAATTTTGAAAGGTTGAAACTTATTATATGTTACAAGTTACAACAAATGCAAATTATGTTTATAGATTCAATGGAGATTTTTCTGGAAACTCAGAAACGGCATATGAGATTTACCGAGAAAAAGACTAATACAAGATTTGGCCCCTCTAAATGACAAAAGTGTTGAAACTAAATTTGAAGTTTAGTGACTCCATCGAGACAAATTAAAGTTTATCGACTCATTAAGATTCGGCTGAAAGTTCAATGACCGTGGATGAAATTTAACCCAAAAAAAGGCTTACACACCCACCCCCTAACCCCTCTTTAACTATGAAAACTACAGCTGAATGTGTGAAAGTTAATCACCAAAGCACACGTCCCTTTCTCACTCCTCTCCCCCACCTCTGCCGCTTCTGCCCCTTCACTCTCTATATCTCTCTCACATCTACATACACACAAAGAAAATCCATCGGGAATGCCAACCATACATTTTCTTTCATTTCCCCTTTATGTCTGCTGCGGCCCAAGTATGGATGTATAGACAAATCAACTTTTAACAATATTTATGTTTATATGCATGTTATGACTTATAAACAATATTAGAAAAATGAGGAAATTAAATATAGGGAGTGGATATAACAAAACATAGCTTTCTTGTTTTGTTTGTTTTATATTATTTTATCGATAGAGAGAATTAACCTATGTTTGATATAGACTAAAATTTGATTTTAATTTTTAAGTCAAAGTTAACAATTAATTTTAACTGACATATATGGGACCCACAACATTTTGAATCACATTCAACTTGTATTAAAATTTACTAAAATCTGATTTTAATCTACCTCAAACACAATCTTGGTATATAAAGAACAAAATGTTTTGACTTTACCTTGTGAGTTACATGAGGATTGTACGATAAATTTTCAAACTATATATGAAAGGTAGAATGCTACTCGTTTTAAAGAGATTCTTTACAAATATACAAACTTGTAACTAAGTGCAATGTATAAATTAGATTGACTCAAGGTGTACAAAGAGGGAAAAAAATCATATGCAATTTTAATTTACAATAATACTAGTATAAATTTATAATAAGATATACTCTAGTTTTATATGTATCTATTTGTTGGGATACTCATAGTAGTTTTAAATGGAGGAGTCAGGCCGACTCGCTCTACAAAAGTGCGACTCGGCTCGTGCTCGCCATACTTTTCTTTTCTTTTCTTTTTTTTTTTTGCTAAAATTGCATCTCTCAATGAGTCGATGAGCTCATTATCAGGCTTGCTCGCGCAAGTCAATGAGTGACTAGTCCTACTTAACATTCAATATGTATGTACATGTCAATTATACATGTTAATAAAATTTATATTTAATTATAAATTAGTATTTTTTTAAATATCTTATAAGTTTTAATTACAAATTAATACTTTTCATAGATAAATTGGAGGGATAATTACAGTAGCGGTACAAAACCTTCCATTTAGGAGTTGACTTTGCCCAAACCTTTTTTGTACCACCCAGGATACCAAACACTTCAAAATGTCGTAGTTGAAGTCCAAATGGATGGTTTATATTAGCTTGACCGTTACTTGACCAAATAATTGACATTGACAATAATTTTGACTAATTTTAAAAGGTTAAAATAGTAACTTTTCATTTTTTTCATAATAAAATAACTACAATCAAATAATTAAAATTAAAAACCAAAAACCAACTTCTTCTCCATATACCCCACACAAACCCACCCCAAAACCATCACCACCATTGCCATCTCCTCCACAACCACCTTCATTCCCATCAACAGTTGCGTTTGGTGAGTGGTGCGGTAGTCTATTAGTATTGTTAGTCAGCATAAGAAAATTCATGTCTTTTCCCGCTCCTTGAATTTCATTTCTCTTTAGACTGTTCTTCTTGTCTAGGCCAGAGGGAAAATGTATGGCCTCAGTTAGATTGCCTCCAGGTTTAAGGTTTCATCTGACTAATGAAGAAATTGTCAATTATTATCCCAAAAGGAAAATTTATGACAATTCAAATTTATCAAGTTTCTCCATGAGGAGGAGGAGGTGGTAGTGGATGAAGAAAGGGAAGAAACAAATTGTTGGGTGATGGGAATGAAGGTTACGGTGGATGAGATAGCAGTGGTGGTGATAGTTTTGGGGTGTGGGTGGATATGTGTGCGGTGGATGGAGAAGAAGAAGTTGATTTTTGATTTTCAATTTTAATCATTTGATTTTAGTTAGTTTATTATGTAAAAAAGGTAAAGTTACCATTTTAACCTTTTAAAAATCGGTCAAAATTATTGTGAAGATCAATTATATGGTCAACACTGTCAAACTAACAGAAACCATCTATTTGGACTTCAGTTGCGACACTTTGAAAGACTTGGTATCGTGGGCGATACAAATGAAAGATTTGAGCAAAGTGTGCTACTAAATGAAAGGTTTAGTACCGTTACTACAATTATCTCTAAATTGGATGAAAAATAAGAGAAAAATAATTTCAATTTGATCTTTTTTGTAGAAAATAGGGATAAACGCTGAAACAAGAGACACAATAAAAAAAAAAATCAAAAAAAGGAAAAGAGAACAGATACAACTAGTAGAAAAGAAAGGAAAACAGTTATGATCAAGGCTCGGGGTTCATTCGGAAGAGGAAAGAATTATAAAAAGTACAAAACATGCATATTTTTTTTTTTTAAGTCTCCCAAAATCTCGTGGTTGAATTAGAGACAAAGTCTTGGTTCAATAACTCCAATTTTTTAGAAAGTTTATAGAAGTGTTGATTGAACATATATGGACTTTTTAAATTTTTTGAAAGCATTGATTGAATATGCACTTCTATTTATTTTTCAATACATTAAATATATACAGTATACTCCACCTCTCTATAGGCTTGAGTTTAAACAAAAATTAAAAAATATTTATATTCATGCTTTTCATTTCAATTGAGTCTGAGGACTTATTATGTACTGGTCTTAAATTTGTACTCATCTTTAGTTGTTTTCACTGTAAATTTGTAATGAATACTTCACTTTTTTGCTGGTTTAAATTTTATGAAGACATTGATGGAGAATGTTTGGTTAAAAAATAAAGACAAGTTTTGGATTTGCGCATAATATTATTTTATTGAAAAATGTATGGTTGAAAAGAAGAGGGAGAAAAATATATTTTGAAAAGAAAAAAGGGAATCAAACCAGTGTATAATGCGTGTGCACATATATGTATGAATATGTAGAGTTGAGATTTACTGTCCATATTAACTGTTCAACTTACTGTCAATCAATAATTCATTAACACGTCATTTTACACCTATTTTTAAGCAGAAGTTGTAGTGAGAGAAAAGTTGAACATGTTAATTTAAAGTAATGTGTCAATGAATCATAGGATGGACGGCCAATTTTGGACGGTAAATCTAAACTCGTAAATATACTGCATTATGAGTGGTATAAAATATTTAGGAAAATATAGGGAGTGAACATAATAAAACACAACTTTTTTGTCGTGTTGGAAATTGGAAACACTATTACAATATTAGAAGGCGCATCCAATCCACCCCCTTGCTCTCCCCCTTTTGATCTTACTCGTCCTCTCTTTGTTGTCTTCTACAACTCAAAAAAAGATAAAAGAAAAAACATTGAGAAATCAGATCCAAAGGTGTTTAATCTGTCAATACTTCCACACACACATACCTTGATCAGTCAACCTATCAATCAATCAAATCAAATTCAGAGAATCATCAAAAAGAAAATTAAAAGAAAGGAAAAAAGAAAAAAGAATGTCCTCTTCATCATCTGCTTTTGCACCGGACCACCACCATGTTTCTCCTTCGGAGCAGCTCTGTTACGTCCATTGCAACTTTTGTGACACTGTCCTCGCGGTATCACTTGTCTTCGTCATCTTCTTCTCCGCCTGTCTATTATGAATATCACTGTCTTATCCTAATCTCTTTTTCCCTATTTTATTTCTTTGTTTATATATCTAATTTTCTCAAGATCTCGTGGGATTCTCGAGAAATTCTTTGAGATGACTAGTCTTACCTAAATAGTCTGGACATTGGGAGAATTCATGCCTTTCTTATGGGATTCTTACTTTATTATTTTTTGAGTGTGATTTCAGCTCCCTTTTGTTGATGAGCAGGTAAGTGTTCCTTGCACAAGCTTGCTCAAGACTGTGACGGTTCGATGTGGCCACTGCACCAACCTTCTGTCCGTGAACATGCGCGGCTTGCTTGTTCCTACTGCTAATCAGCTTCATCTTGGACATTCATTCTTCTCTCCTCAGAATCTTATGGTATATAGGGTTCCCAAATATTACAGTATAAGATATAATTCTCAAAAAAGAAAAATAATAAAGCTTATAAAACATTAAAGTTTTGAATCATGGAAAACATACAAGTTAGGATAACAAAATATCTTGATTTATCATGTTTATATATGTCAGAAATGTAGTCATTTTTCTTGTATTTGCTTCTTCCTGTTTTCCTTTATTGTCTATTTTATATTCAGGAGGAGATTCGGAATCCGCCATCAAACTTGCCAATGAATCAGCCCAATCTGAACGAGTCCTTTACGTCCGTTCGAGACGATGAGCTTCCAAAGCCTCCTGTCCCCAATAGACGTGAGATTATCAATTTCTCCAATATTTTGTGTTTACAGTTAATGGAATCTTTGAAATTCCATGTTCATTTCTTTCTACGTATTACTCGAATGAAGAAAAAGAATTCACATAGTCCACACAATATGTTCGTGCCATTTCTTTGGCCTACCACCCTTCGTGCCTATAAGGGTGCAGAGTATTTTCAGTCCCAGTCAACATATCCTTTCCAGTATACAGTATTCTGTTAACCAAATAAGAACAAATCTTTGAATTGTGCTTTCTACGTTTACTCTTAAACAGTGCCTAAAATTTACTGTCTTTAACAAGGTATATATGTTATTGAACATTTACATAATTATGTTTTTCCAATTAATATCTGATACTATTCAAATTACAATTTTGAACCAACAGAATAGCATTTTTGTATTGTTCAGCAACAGTTTTTCCCTACAAAAAAATCTGTAGCATTACTGTATTTTTTTCTTCGAAAATCTTGCCAAACCCTAAATTTTGTAAAGGAAATTTCCTTCACTAAACCAGACCTTTTTTTTTTCTTTTTCAGTTTTTTTCCTGGAATTCAAGATAGTGTCTGAAAAGTAGAATCCATGATAAAAAAGAAAGATGAATCATTAGATAATGATGAAGTGGAGAGAGAGAGAGAGAGAGATGGTGAATGCAGAGATTTGCATAAAGACAGCCAAGTGATTTGTTTTTTTTTCCCTTATATTTGTTTGCATTTCTGTCCATTTTCAGCTCCAGAGAAGAGACAGAGGGTGCCATCTGCTTACAACCGGTTCATCAAGTGAGTAATAACTAATCTTAAAGAATTACATTAATATGCCCCAACTCACCCCTCAGCCTTGTATTTGAACTGCTATTCTTAATAATGTTAACCTTTAAAAAGAAATTTGAGTCTCAATATAGTATCAAATGTCACATTGTTTACATGTCAAAATTATAACAAATGTGCAACTATAAATGTTTGATCTAGGTTCAAGTTTTAAGATTGAACTCGAGTCTCAATAACCCCAAGAATGGGGATGGGTTGGGGGTTCTTAATTACAAAATCATTGTTACTTTATCAGGTTCTTTACTGCCATCTGACCCTAACTTTACAGTAAAAGTCTACAAGGATGCTATTGAAATATGCAAAAATATATTTGCAGGGACGAGATCCAACGCATCAAAGCTGGAAATCCTGATATAAGTCACAGGGAGGCCTTCAGCGCTGCTGCAAAAAATGTAAGATCCAATAATATAGTACCTAAATTTCTCAGGTTTTCGTTGTACTAGGGTTTCATTTTTGCCCTTACATATTCAGAAGTTTCAGTATGTTTTTCTCAAAAAGGGTTCTTGATTTGATTGTTGCTTTGCTTTGTTTTCTTGCCGTCAGTGGGCCCACTTCCCACGCATTCATTTCGGAATTATGCCGGATCAACCCGTGAAAACCAATGTGTGCCAACAGGTAACTACCTCAAAAGCTTCAACAACCAATTTTACATCCATAGTTTAAAATCCACACTTTCTTCGTGTTTCATTCTGAATACTCTTAATGGATTGTTTGGTTTAATGAACTACATAATACGTAGGTTGTACTGAATTTTCTAGGGTTTTCATTTCGGGAATATTTTGAAGATCGACTTTTTTTTTTTTTTTGAAAACATATATTTTTTTATTTTTCAATAAAATTCGAAAACTTTTACGGAAAGTTTTAACAAAAATATTTGGAAACTTAAATTAAGAATTTCACATTATTATGAACCTTTTTCGGCCTCCAACAAAGAATTAACTTAATTCGAGTTTCAACTACAGATTAACATAATTCTTGCTTTAGTTCTTCTTCTGTAATTGAATAGACAAGTTATTAAAGTTTGAATCAATACTACAAATTTTTCTACGGCATTTGTCTCTTTTTTTTCAGAAATGGCGTCATTAAGTGTCATATCTTGTCGAGTTTCAATTTTCATATCCATTTTCATGCAACCTATTAGTACTCGAAGGTATTGAAAAAGAAAATGAAGTTAAAGTATTTATATTGTGCTGCCAAAAATTCCTAAAAAAGTTCTTTACATTGTTACCAGCCATTCTTTCAGACGCAAAAGTCTTACAAAAAAGTTCTTTTCTGGTTTTTGATTTTGCGTAGGAAGGAGAAGATGTTCTACTGAAAGATGGGTTTCTTGCTCCTGCAAACGTGGGTCTGTCTCCTTACTAAGAAAGCGAAGAATGTTTGCGTCTCTCTCTTTTTTAATCTATCTCGTCTTTAGTTAATTCATTTTCAATTAGGGTTCTTGTTTATCTGTCTTTCAAGAAGACTGTAACATTTCAAGTACTTTGCTTCAATTTAAATTAATGCTTAAGGTGGAAGAGTGTTTTGAGGTGGAATGCTTTTCAATGCTAATTGTTAATCTATTTGAACCCATCTGAAAATGAAGCTTTTATTCTCAGATATTTACGGAGTCATTTTTGCAAACATGAAGCCAATTTTTAACAATTTTCCGTGAGAAAAGAATTTGATCTACCTATACTCATGGCAATCTCTGGTCATACTTCCATATGTGATTTTCTGTGTATGTTTGCTAAGAATTTAGGTGTCTTTTTCAATCTAATATAGTCTCGGAAAATTCTTGTATTCAAGTTTTGATGTAATTCAATTTTAAAAAATTTACGAGTTGAAGATAAAAATTTAAAAGTAAGAGTTATCTTTTAGTCCATGGATTGGATTTTTATTGCAACTCTTGAATTAAGAACATTTTTTTAAGACGGTGGCGGATCCAAGGTATCGAGTAAGTTAGGGGGGCCGTTGATTCTATATCATTAACCGTCATCGGCCGCAATAAAATTCAGAAAACAATTCTTTCCTAAAAAGACGAGTGAAAGTGGTGATAGGTCATGTCATCCATTTTGTCTATTATGAGCATTATATTTTTATCACATGTTCTGTGACAATAGATTATTATGTCGCTCTGAATATAACAATTCAATACCAAAACTTGATTTCTTTATACATGAGTAAATTATCCAATTTCCTTTAATCAATTGGAGTTAATTCTACTTTCTAATACTTTCACCAATATTTACTATATCCAATCATAGAAATAATCACACCTTCTCATATAGTGAAAACTAACAACCAACAACTCAACCAATTTTACTTTCATCTTGTTCCATTAATTCATACTTTCATGTGAGTAATTCCATCAACATAACATTTCTACGAATTATTTTACTCAACAACCCAATTAAAAAATCTCGTGTTTGCTAGAATTGCTTACCTTATGCAATTAGAATAACAAATAAAAAAGGTTGACTTGAAATTATACTCATACCCTTCAATCTGAAAATTAAACCAACAACTTAAAACCCTAAAAAAATTTAACATCATCATTCCATAAAAAAAGGTTACTTCTTTACCTCTCGAAGAAATGAAGAAATTGAACTTAAGCTTTTTTTTCCTTCTTCATTTCTTCTTTCTTTTTTCCTTTTCTTTCTTCTTTTCTTTTCATCGTTCGTCTGCTTCCTCACCGTTTCAGCCTCTGTTTCGTTTCCTAGCTTTCTATGTGTGTAGAGAAAATGATAAACGGGTTTAAATGGTTAAGTTAGTGGAGCACTAACTAAATTTTGCAAAGAAAGTCCCTTATCTTCCATTTGATATAACATTTGGTCCTTTAACTTCCAATGATAGACAAGTAATTCCCCAAATTTAAATGATGTCCATATTAAACCCTTAAATATTGTCAATTGTAAGATAAACCCCAATACAATAATTTATTCTATTTAAGTCCCTATTTGACTTTGACGAGTCGAACCTTTGACTTGAAATAAAAAATCTTGACTTTCGACTAACATAAAATGAGGTGTAACATATTATATATGAGTTGATATGTATGAATACGCATGGGTCTAGTAGTATGCCCAAACCAATAGCCAATGAGTAAAATTTAGACGTAAAAATGGGAGATTTTTCTAATTTATAGGCACATTTTTTCTTGTAATGTTCAAAATTCTTATAAAATTTATAATTATATTATTAAAATCTAATCCCAAAAGAAAAATGGACCTTTAAATTATGATGCATTTACAATCCAAATATTTATAATTTTGTTCCTGATGACGATTTTCACCCAAAAATTCTGTTAAAATAGTTAAATTTTTTTATTTATCTCTTGTATTTTAAAATAAGTAAAAATAAATAGCAAATACAAAAGTACGACTAAATATTTAACTCATATTTAAAGCACAAACAAAATTTTTGGGCAAAAACTTTCATTTGAGACAATATTAATTAATGTAAGGTTAATTAAATATAAAAATATGATGAGAAAATGTTGGACATAAATATGACAATTTACCTAGATTAAAATTTTTTCATACAATAAAGATATAACATATTTATAAAAATTCTGGTGTTGAAATAGTTTAGGGTTTAATATAGTTTGCATCTAAAGACTACGCCAAATTTGCAAATACATTTTTCTTCCTACTGCCCAAACAGGGCCCCACATTAGATCATAAACCCAATCACACAACACTATACACCTTCAGTGCGTGTATCCCTCTCCATCTACACCTTCGCAAAGGTTGCAGTGGTGACGGCACTCTCACGCCTTGCCCTCAATAGATCAAATCTCCAGAACCCCAAGCCAACGCCACTCTCTTCCTCAGTTCCTTGCCAAATTCTACGGTCGCGCCGAACTTATTAATCTTTTCAATTTCAGCCCTGATAATCTACGCCCAGGTGCACACATAAACCCACTAAAAACGCAAAAAAATGAAAAAAAAAAAATATATTCATAAAGGTGGAGCCAGCATGGGCGGCCATCGGTGTTGGCTCCGCCAATGGTTGTTGATGTTAGAAAATAGACAGGGGAAAAGAGAAAAATAGAGAAGTTAATAGATTTGTATATTTTATTAAGAATGAAAGTCTTATATATATATATATATATAGGGAAGTAGGAATACAATGGTAATAGAATCTAAGGTTACATAGGTATAATTGTCATTCTCAAATACTACTTTACTTACAATACTCTCCCTTAAATTACTATTTACCGAATAACTATCTCAATGAAACCTTGTTTGGCAAAAAAATTCAATGGGACAAAAATGTCAATATATTAAAAAAAATAATACAAATAATTTGGAGTAGTAAAATGCTGCTTCGTTAAAACTTTATCAAGAAAATTTAGTGAGGTAAAACTTGATCGAGGGAAAAAGAATACAGCTACTTCATTTTATTTCAATTTTTGTATCAATTCATCGATCTCTTTTATGTCAACGTCTACAAATATTTCAATTTCTGGTGAAATATATCTCATGTTATCTTGTATAGTCTTCGAGTAACACCGTCTTCATATGAGATATTTTATCAATCTTTCATCACTGTAATAACATGATGCGGAAAATAGCTCTTTTAGATGTCTTAGGGAGTCTCATACATATAAGAGTATTATTTTGAGAGTAAATGTCTCATATGTTATGGTCATTTATTACAAAAAAAAAAAAAAAATTCCTCGTAAAAATCTTATTAGGAAAAATCCTATGGAAGAAAAAAGAGTACATTTATTCTGTTGATTACGCTACAAATGTTGTCTCGTTAAAAACTTTGTTAGAAAAACCCAATGGACAAAACTTTGATCAACAGAAAAAGAGTACAACACGAATTTACTTCCCATCATTATAATATCACTTAAATTATACTTCAAGTATATTAAATCTTTCAAGAATAACATTTATAGTCATGGCATATGAGTTGATTGTAGCCGTATTTCAATTTTCATGCATACCAGGATAACAAGATACGAACATATAATTTCATCTACCACGAAATTCACTATGTTGATATTTGTTGATTACATATTATAACTTCATTTTTCTCATTTCCTTTTCATATAAAATGTACACATTTAGATTTTTGGATTGCAAGTCCAGAAACTTCAGACTTCTATAATAAATTCAATTTATGATTGTGTCCATTTTATTTGGCCAATCATCAATTTAATCGATATATTTCGACAAATTTATTTTGGGTTCGTCACTATATGAAGCGATATATCATGTGTAAAAATGTTGTTGACAATTTTTTTTCTCGATTCTATTCTTTTCTATAACCACATAACATATCTATCTCAATTTTCAACATTTTCAGGTATCACAACTTCTTCTTCTGGGGTTTTACATTTTTTCATGTCTATATACTTTTCAAAAGTATACGCCTCCTAAATAGGACCATCTTCCTTATGTGCTCTATTTCTCTTTTGAAAAATTTTGTATTAGAATCGAATATATAGACACCCTAGTATGTTGTTTCTAAGTAGGGATGACAGCGAGGGCAGGATCGGACGACGATTAAAAAAAATTCCAATTACGGTCCTTTTCTATTTTTTTCACTTTTAAAAATTTTTTCTATTCTTAAAATTATGATTTAAATTGAAAAATATAAAACAAAATATTTAATGCAAGTTTGAGAAATTCGAGGCAGGGACCATATTCCCCCTCTCTGGTCCATTTATTATTTGGTGCTTGACAATGTAGTAATTTAATTAAAATTAAAATGTAGTAATTTAATTGAAAATTCATTGTGTGTTCACTGAGTACGAATGAAATTTGGCAGTTAACAATGATAATTGATCAAAATTTGAAGGGGATACAAAGGATAAGGCAGAGAATGAATTCTACTGCTTTTTTTTTTTTTTAGTTTCATTTTTATAGAGTTAATTACTTCTCAAACATAGTTGTGACGTCCAAAAATTTCTAGAATAAAAAATTTTGGTTTATATGCTACTTTTTTTTGTTGAGGGACTTAGTGAAATAAGCAATAAAAGAAATTTTATTTTGACCAAATAATTAAATATTGATAGAGCGATGTTTAGTATATCAATATTAGACTTGTCGGATAGATCATATTAAATCATATATTTTAGATTCGATAAAAGTTAAAGTTGAATAAGTTTGAGATAGTTAAAGCCAATGAAAGGAGAAAAGAAACGCTTTTGAGGAAAGATTAGGACAAATTACTATTAAAAGAAAAGAAAGAGTTTGATTGGGTAGATAACCAAGCATTTTAGTGGTAATTTTTTTGGTTAATTAAATAACTAATAATGTAATGTTTATGTAATTGATAAATAATTACACATTGTGATATATTAAAAAAATAGTATTAATAGAATCTATAGCATGGTCTTATAAATAAACTATCGCTCATAATTTTATGAA